CTGACTTTTAGCAATTTTATTACTACAGTTGGAAAAACATGTAATTGTCTTGTTTGAGTAACTTATTCGATGCGATGCGAAATTCACCAAATTCTTAATTAAATGGCAACCACTATGCAGCTATTCAAGGATTACATAAAGATCAGAATTAATCCATGTAAGGGAAGGGGTATGCTTACAGAGAAAAAATAATCACATTGTTAATTCAAAGGTACAATTGCGATGTATAGACTCATATTTGCCACGATCTTAAAAAAAGAGCAACATTTAAGACATTGCTCATGGCTAATCTGAGAAGTAAGGCAAACAGACTAACTACGCGAACCAACCATGTAAGAATGTGCTTTTCTAGTACTCAAACATATATGCAGGATCAGTAGACTTTGAACTTGGTAATTGATATCCTCTTTCTTAGTGTTACTGAGGAAAGTTTAGTAGACCATATAAATTAACTGTTGTATTCCGTTCAGCGTGTACATTAACATTATTGAAAGATAGATGTCGTGAGTGAAAAAGGGTTGGATAAGATTAGGGGCACATTGAATCCTTTTAATTGACTTTTTAATCAACTGCTGGATTTCCGTGGAGAGATTAAAAAAATTAAAAGGAATTTAATTCTAAGGGGTATTTTTAAAAAAATGGAGTCAGAAAATATGGCGGACATTATTTGTGTCGCAGATACGACAAGAATCCATAAACTAGGTCACAGTTCAGCGGCCACATAATGGAGTGGAGGAAGTATTGAACGATGCTTAATGGAAGATTGGTTTACTACTTGATGGATGGATGGGTGGCTAGTCAAAGGATAGGCTGCACAGTATTTATTTGGCCTGTGTGAATCAAAAGCTCATGTCTTTAAGAACTTGTTTGGCCAGACGAACTTGACCATTAAAGTTTCATCAGCGTTCAGCTATTCCGCATCCATCTACCCTCTTAGGATACTTTTTGTACCATTCTAACGGTTCTAAGCTCACTCTATACCTACAAAACACCTACTGCATTCCTCACAAAATCATTCACGCATCTAGTTCTTCTTCCTTTCCCTCAATGTACAACCATGCAGCCACGCATGTGGTCATGGGTCACGGAGCCATTTCAGATGCAATGTCTTCCCACTGGGTTAGAGCCTAGTTTGCGCTGTTGCCATCTGTGTAGGCACTCTTGAAACTCATTTAATTCCTCTGGCTGATTTGTTACTCTAGGTGTGCCATTGCTGTCACCTATCCCATGCCTAGTCGTCTAATCCGTGCAACTTGTCCAACTGGGCTAAGCCCAAAATGACAAGTCTGCATTGAATCAAATAGCAGGGAGGAGAGCTAGTTCTGACTGGTTTGTTAGTAATTTCAGCTCCTGCTTCAAGCAAAGCTGTTTCAAATTTTCTTTATGAAGAGGAAATAGAGATAAGAAGAAAGGGAGAACTTTTTTTAAGAATGACCTTGCTTGTCTGTCTGTCTTCCTGCGAGCCTATCTTTCCGTTTGTCTATAAAAACGCTGCTGTTAGGAACCAAACACTTCCAGAAATTAAATAGATACATTTTACTTACTACCTTTCCACATTTTGTGAAAAAGCAGGATCAGTTTGTTGACTACAGGTTATTGGTGCTAGTCAGATGTTCTTGCAATTCTACCCCACCTAAAATACGCATTTCATTGCACTACCCGAAACACCTAATTTAGTAAAAAACTTTTCCACTTCCTTTCAAGTTATCGATGGTTTGCACAGAGCAGAGTGTAAAGCTTTTGGTAATCTTTAGCATTTGAAATTCCCCAACAAATGGAGTTAAATGTAACTAAATTTGTTGATTACAAGTTGTTGTGCCGATTTTCTCAACCCCTAAATCAGTAAAATTTTTGAAATTGCGATTTCTACTTGACCACTGATAACTGAACGTTCAAGAGAGCTCTACTTCGCTGCATTACTATTTCATTGGCTTATATCAAGCAGAGATATGCTGGAAGTGTGGAGATAACTACTGGAAGGCCAAGGTCAATCAAACACTATAAAGACATGTAAATAATAGACTAGCTATCAGGGGATTTCCCACCATCTGGTCAGTTGGTTAGCTTTTTAGCTCTCATGACTCGCATGCTTGCGTCGCGCACTCGTACACGTCGGCAAAATGAAGGAGGAACTGAAGTTTCTATTCACTTGTTTCTGGCTAATCAAAACTGTTTTGAAGACATTGTGCCCACAAAGTGAGCCTACTCACAAGCAACTTTTTGGTCTTTAGTAAAATAGTTGCCTGTTCTGAAGTCGCTACGAATATACAGCTTTTCTATAAACCTATCCTGACGCTGTTCCTATGTCTTTTGTGCTACGCCGTTTTTTGAGTGGATTTTGCATAAAGAGGAATGCCACTACAAGGGATGAGAACAGGCGGTGCATGTGCTGAATTCGTAAGTATTTAATAAAGGGAGAAGTTGGACACGCCTCCTATCTTTTTCACAATTTCGATGCGACTGTACCGACGGCAAAGCACAGCCATTATAATGATCACTTCATTCAAAATCCATAGCCACCTCACATACATTCATGATCGGCGCCTCTAGAGTTCCAATTCTGAATAGTAGCATTGAAGTCCCTACCTAATGAGTACAAATTCTCTTTTCCTTATTAAAACCACTCTAAATGACATATTTTCTCTTTCTATTATCTAGATTTAATGAAAATTCAATTGCGCTTTCTGTCAGCTGAATCGCAAAAAACTTCCTCATTAATAACTAGATGCACTTGTGCAGCCGTATGACTTTATTAACCGTATGAAAACAGCACTGTGAAGCAGTCCAAACAAAATGAAAAGAATATATTTTGCTGAGCAATATTTAATGACACATCTGAACTCCTGCGTTGGAGGTGCAGTAGTTGTCAAGATGATGGTAAGAAATCAGGAAAAAAAAAAGTAAAGGATTAAAAATAATTAGTTACAAGAAGGTTAATACTGCTCAGCACAATAGGCAGGTTTGTGGTGGCTATGGATTGGTTCATTAATATTTTGACTGTAGACTTGAAAAGGAACAATCGCTAGGTGATGTAATAGTAATGTTTCATTTCGAATCTTAATTAGGTACTGAAAAAGAAATTAGCACAACCGGAGGATGTGAAGGACGTGGGAATTGTCAGCAGGAAAACTCGGTGAGTTGAGTGAATTACTGAAGACATGACTGAATGAAGTGGGATTGTGGAAGGCGTTGCTTACATGACGCATTTTCTTTTGTTTACCGCCTGACTTTTACTTGATTTTTTTAATGGATGTTTTTTTATGCGAACTATTGGGGATTGTATAGAATTATTTATTTATGTAAGGCGTACGGGTTTTGAGTTCCTAAGTATTTGATATACGCTAATGGACTCGTCGAAGTCGACAGCACCTTCCACTTCTTGTAATTGACCTCCTCTTTTCAATGGATATCTACCTCGATACATCTACTTGTGCAGGAAATGATGGATTCGCACTTGCAACTCGTTGGAAGTGATAGTTGAAGAATTGGAAATAGAGTAATTATTAACTGCTTTGTGAAATAATTTCGAATGTATCCGAATTCGCAGCTTTATCATCCACAGATTGCTTTAACGTGCTGTGTAGCATATATATAGGATCTAACTACAATGAATCGACATGCCTTATCTCGGCACACGGTAAGCTGACCTCGTATATTTTGAAACTGCCGCCTCATTAATGGAAGGGCCAAGTTTCATTTTACGCAGTGTCATAATCGTATTTTTGTCCACTTCTTAATCCAACACCAATCAGGAATCAGTTTTTGGTTTCTCAGAATATCAAACACCCAGGGGCCACAGAGGACACCTTTCTAATCCAAAATTGTGACTCTAGAAAACTTGTCACCTCTTATGCAGCCATCACTTTATACTGAATAGGAATTGCATTTCCTGTAAATGATAGTAAATGACAAATGTTTTCTGTTTAAACAAGTTAGAGACAAAGTGTTTTTCAACGTCAGAAAACATTAGTCACTTGCAGAGATCGCAAGACGAGAGTTAATTACTGTTAGGTTTTGCAGCTAATGCGCACACATTCTTTACTTGAAACTAGATGAGGCAAGGCGACAGCCTTTTTAGAAGGAACGAAAGAAGGCGACTACAGTCAGTTATGTGCACACTTGCTGACTCGCAGAAAATTGTGGTGTTAACTGTGTGTTGCTGCATTAGGAATGGAACTCAGGCACATTCCGTACATTGTGAAGTCAAAGTGATGCAATAAATGGATTTCTTTTGGCACACATTCTGCAGCAATTCAAATAGTTAGGTAGCGGAACCAGTAGAAGTGGAAGGTCTGATTTGATTTACCAATTCCCTTTTGTTTGTTTCTCTTACAGGGCATAGCGTCTCCTTTTAATTACTTTATTTTGAGGCGACTTGTGCAACTGTGTTTGCATACTTTAAGGATTGCCTACACAAACTTTACGAATTAGCGCAAACTACAGCTTTCGTTTTTTCTATTTTAATTGGAATATACAATTTTACCTAAAGGTCATTTGTATCACCGAAGGTAAAAATAAGTGCGAAAACGTCATTGGCCTTGGCAAATTCTAAGTCAGGTTAATTTGCATTCTTGAACGATCATCTTGGCGTTTACTGATTGAATGTCAAAATGCAAGTGTTTTTAAGCGGCTTTAATTGCAGCCACTAAAAGTACCTAAAAACTGTAGGTGATGGATATCTCACTCAGACCCGAACGAGGGAGTAGACTTGGTCTTTTCTACTTCACACGACAAGGCGTTTAACATGTTAAATGTCATAGAATCCATTGTTAACCTATCAGAGTTTGCATCATACAAGGACACGGTGTAAAAAAGCATGTGAGTGAGAGGTAGTCCTAAATAATTTGCAGTGACTAAACGAAGTAATCATTTGATAAGGATTTGGAAAAGGCTGAAATGGCATTTACTATTACGCAAACGTATTGTGGTTTTAGAGTGACAATCGCTGAGCTTGCGTTATTACTAGTTGAGCTTGCACAGAATCCGGACAGTGAACGAGCTTACTGCATCTCTTGCTGTGAATTAGACTTGAATTCTGTGATGGCATGCTTGACCTTACTCTCTTCTGACAATTCATTTAACCCAGTGGCATCCTGCTCCATCGTTTCCGACAACCAAATCTGTGCAGACGGTTTTCTGAGACCAGGAGCCTTCTATAAACCAAAGAGGGGTAAGAGCATTGTTTTCACCTTTGAATGTTGTCAAAGGTTTTCTATACCGAACGTCTCAGTATATGGAAATGTTAAAATACTTCATGGAAAAATCAGTTGGTTTGCTCAAAATTGAAGAGAGTTTTCATTCATATGCCGACCCTACCTCCCACCAAAGTCGGTATTATTAACGTAATTGCTGTGACTTCTTTAGTAGTCAAAGGTAGATTGAACCCCATTCAAAGCATAGTTGTATTACAAAATAGCTCAATTTTCCTCTTATCCAAAGCTCAAAGTGGTCATTTGAAACTAACGGGTGGTGTCTATGTCCCTCTTGAGATGGAAGTAGGGGAGGTAGGTTGCTGCAACAAACTTTGGAAGAGTGTGCAAATTGCTGATTTGCATGAGCATCAATTTGCATACATGTATGCATTTATGCATGCAACTTAGTATCCCGTGCACAAAGTACTTGGAAAAGATTTAGTTTTGCTGCTAATATTAGCCGAATGTTGCTCCTTTTAAGTGAACTTAAGGTGTAAGGCACCACATACTACTTAGATCCTTTTACGCACTCTCTGCCCCATATCTCATAGATCACCATCTGGCTACAAGTCGGCAGACATTCATGGTCACTTTAACTAGGGCTACTTTCAAAAATGTGCCTAAATATGTCAATGAGGAATGCCACAAATGCGCACCAAGTAATGCCGCCGACTTAAATAGACACATTTTTCCTAAAATGAAAATAGTTAGTCTTCAGCTTGGTTTGCAAACAAATAAAGCCAAAAATATCCTTGATATTACTTTTCTTTACCACTAGAGTAAAACCACTATTGTAACATTGACCATGACAAAATGTATATTTCTAGAAAAGAGAATACCTTGAGGGGCTGCCGGCATGACCCAAAGACCACGCCTTCTAGTGAAAATACAATCTGAGCAGACTCAAGAGCCCGCAAGATTAAGCGCAGGATTTGAAAATATTGAGGCATTACATAGCCCACCCCTTTGTTTGAGCGTCGTTCTTCGCTCTCGCCGTATTACATCTCTTGCAGCGGTCTTCACAACGCAGCCAGTGATTGAACCATCCACCCGCCAACTTAGCTACGCCAGCCAATGACTACGAGTGTAAATGAGGAAGACACTCGACTTCAACTCCACTGATGTATCTCACCAATTCCACTCATATCGGTGTTTTAGCCCGTTCGGCCACAAAATTGTGACGGAGAAGGGAAAGTGCGCAGGATCAGTACTTGTGGAGACTAGATGATGCTCTACAGTGAAGGCATCTCATCTACTACACCAGTAACTAGTCAAAGGAAAGTTTCTGTAAGGCTGGTGGTGAACAGAAAAGCACGCAAAACTCTCCTAATCCCTCTATATACGCTTAAAATACGCTTTGCCTTAAAAGCCAATGTCAAGGTGATGCAGTGGCGCACTTGCTCTGTGGAACACCTCCAACAGGTAGATCCTGGTCTTTATTCAAGTGCATGTACAGTTTAATCACTGAAAACGCGCTTGGTTTAATGATCATGTTGCTTTATTGACAGTGAAAAGGTTTATCAAGACTTTTAGAATTGCAGCAAATGGAAATTGGGAATGACTTTCCCTCAACCATTTGCTTGCTAATATCCGGTAAAGCTCTTGCTTCTACAATTTTTCCCATTTTAATGATTGGATTTTGTTCCTTACATATAGAGCAGACAACCACCCTTCCCAGTTAAATATGTTGCATCCGTTTGTTTTTCTTTAAACGGGATCAGATTCGTTTTCATCTGACCGAGAATCAAAGGTTGTCTTTGCCGTTTTTAGCTAACTGGGTAAAAAAAATGCTCCCAGCAAGTAAGTGAAAGAGACTGCTGATGTTTTGATCATACAGTTTCTTTAAATTCTTTGCCTAAAATGGACGAGTGGTTGGTTCACATTTCCTTTCGAATGTTTATTTTAAGATACTCTCGTGGAAGAATAGTTACGGAATACGCTCGTGTTTTAACAGGTAAAACCGACGATTCACTGAAAATTGGAGTTTTGAGGGACCACTTGAGGATCCCTATCTGATGTGTGAGCGATGATTGTGTGAAACAGCAGTCTGATTTATGACAGTGCCTAACAAGCAAGCCCGTGTTCTTGTGCATCAACCTTTAAGGTCCCTCTCCTCTTATAAAAGTATGAAAATCTTACCTTAAACATCAACCATTTGTTTAATTTGACATGCGTTGACACTAAATGAAAGGAAAGCTCCTAAAAAAGAACAAGAAAAGCATTAAACTGCTGCCGTTTGATTCTAATGTTTAAAGATCTGCTTCGTTTTGAGCAGCATTGCATGCTAGCAGCATTGCAATATTTGTCAATTCCTCTCCTCCAAACCGATGGTTTTAGAGTTCTTTTGAGACTTATGCCAAGCATTGATAATCATCGAAATCCTTTAACTCGAGTCTTTTTTATCATCTTGGCGAAATTTATGAAATGTTTTAAAAAAACCCCAACATCACAAAAGGAGAGGAAACACGCAGACTAAATAAGTACAGTCGTGTCATTCAAATGGCTACTGATTCATGCATCAGTGCAAAGTGCACCTGTCAATCTTGACTAGCCTAGCCTCTCCTAGCTCTAAGGTCATTTTTGCCCTGATCCACCAGGCGTACCAAACTGTTAAATTCCTCCAAACAAAAGCTAATCTGCCTCACAAAATCTGCACGCATGCAGGACGCTGCCTTTCACCAAGTATCACATATATTCTCAAAATTCCCGTTTTATCGGTTTCTCCATAACACTTATGAGTCCGCGGGCAATGTGACAACGAACTTCATCAAATTGTCGTACAAAAGCCAAAAACACCTTAATTAACGGATGATTTATCCAATCTAGATTCAGGTTACAACAGGTACTTAAATCGATTTAAGGCAGACGGTATGCTAATGGGAAGTAGAAAAAAATTTCATAAAGTTGGAAAAAAACGAGGTGGCTGACGGCAAATTTTCTCTATTCCAACTGTAAGGTTTCGGTATGCAGAGAAAACTTAATCGTTCTCCTCCGGCAACGATTTTAGGGCTTGATTCGGGCGCAAAATTCTTATTAGCCATTCTTGCTCTCGGGAGAATTTATACTTACTAGGGGCAGTCCAAACAACCATCGGAGCATAGCAATGGCTCTCAAACAGGGCAATTTAGAATGCTGGTACTGAAGTCCTTAATGAGTTAATGTGCTTTCCTCTTGCTTCCATACTTCGTATGATAAAGTGTAGTCTGGTGTCCTCTCATTGGGGAATGAGGTGTGTACAAGGTGCATTATAAGAAATATGGGTAATCAGGTGGGTTGTGTAATTTTTTATGATCATGTATTTGACTCTCTTTACACTTACTCATTTGCCGTTTACTTAATCTTAGCTTTTTCCTAAGAAGAAATTGTTTTCTTGCCTACTTTTCACTTACCTTTACTTTTACTGGGATTATAGATTTCAGCTTCATTTGCTCTATCTGTAGCTGGTGAACAGATGCATCTACATTCCGCTGCAAGCAAACAAAACACTAATAGTGCTGCAGAAATAGCGCTACTGGTGTCCCACGGTTGTGAGGCGGGTACTAGGGTAGCGGGGCCGTCTCCATCCCTACCAAGACCTCTTATTTCGATGGAAAGATGAAAGGTACTTTCTTCACCTTCCTCTTTATTAAGGTGCAAATAGGGCATCGTCTTTACTGGTAGTACTAAATTTAGATGCAATTGCGTTCAAATGGGAAATATTGGCTAAATAAGAATGCGAAATTTTACGTAGCTGGCAACAGCAAATGTACAAGTAATTTCGATGCTCTAATGGACATAACGTGAGCTTAAACCCTGTTTGCAAACGCAAGAAACTGCAAATGGCACACTCAAGGAGGCGGGTATGTAATCCTGCTGACGGTTCCACACAGACTGTGGGAAAATTTTTCAACTACTGATATCCTTCAGGTCAAAGCAATGTGATTCGTCTTGTGTTTGTATGGAGGCTAGCTATGTGAATTGCGTGAATGAGTGTGAGTAGCGAGCCATGGACCTGAGTGAAGGCTCTTGAGGAACACTGTTTCACCTCTGACTTGCACAAGTGGCCTTAATGGAGATGAGTATGAGCAAGACCTAGAAGACAGGGCAGAGCACTCTCGCGTGGAATATGGAAATAGGGATGATGGGCACACGAAGTGTCATTTCCACTTTGATCCATAAGGTTGTTCGGGTTGCCTTCTTAGCTCTAGAAGAGGCGAGACCAATCCAGTTTCTTTAAAGGCTTAAAATTAAG